CCTCGGGTGTCCTAATGAGCACCAAGTTGAGTACAAACCAGCAGTGCTTCCTTGCCACTAAGAAGGTTAATAATATCCTGGACTGCATTAGGTGCAGTATTGCTAGCAGCTCAAGGCATGTGACCCTTCCCCTGTATTAGCACCAGTAAAGTCACACCTGGAGCTGTATTTTCAGTTCTGGGCTCTCCAGTACAAGAGACAGCTGGACATAATGGAAAGAGTCCAGTGAGTAGCACCTGAGATGGTAAAGGGAATGGAGCACCTCTCCTGTGAAGGAAACACCTTTCCTGTGAGAGAGCTTGGAAGCTTTCACCCTGCAGGAGAGGATTGGAGGGGAACAGACATCACCAGTCTTTACAGTGGTGTCCAGTGATGGGAAAGTAGGCAATGGACACAAACTGGAAGTTTCCCGCAGAGATTCCTTCTTGCCGTCAGGGAAGTGCTTTGTTACTGAGGTGGGTGATGGAGCACTGGCACAGGTTACCAAGAGGCTGTGGAGTCTCCTCCTTGGAGATAATCTGAAGCTATGTGGCTGTGGTCCTCAGCAGGATGCTCTGGTGTCCTTGTTTGAGAGGGGTTGGGCCAGATGGACCCAGAAGCCCCTTCCAATCTTGGCTATTTCTGCTCAGAAAGCTCAAATGAAGTTGGATTTGTTGTAGCTTGCTTGAATTACATCAGCTGAAGCTGTGCTTTACAGAACCATAAGATGGTTGGAAGCTGAAATCTTCTCCCTCTTATTTAGGGAAAGGAAGAAAAAAGTAGGATTAATGTGTAAGGGTAGTTGTGTATGAGCTATGCAAATGTGATAATTCAGAGAGGTGATTATTTTTAAGTTTAATCTCAATAGCATATTCTAAAAAGTCGTGAATGTTCAGCTTCACAGGAAACTGCATTTCCTTTGAAAAATTTGCCTCTGGACCCATGTTACGAGGAAAAACATTAAAACAAATGTGTGCAAAACTCCTCAGATGACTTGAAAGTAGGTGGAATCTAGGCAGGCACAGTTGAATGATCATGCTTTGTTTTATTTCTGCTACCTACTGTGTGCTGTTCTACCAAAGACTAATAAGTGGCATCTATGATGGTTATTTGTAGCATGACATCAAAAGTAGCTTTTTGTTAACTCCAGAACTGTAAAGGACTACTTATGATCAAGAAAACTACTTCCTCTGAAGAGCACTGATTTCCATTATTGGCGATGCTTTGTTTTACTCAGATTTAGTTAAGTTCCTTGACTTTGTACATATGGATTTGTGGACATTTTAGATATGTTTATGACCTAAGGATAATTATTTCCTATTATTTTATTTCAAGCCTGATGACCTCAGGTCTGAAATTTGGGTTTTGAGTCAATCAAGATGGAAAGAGATGATCGTCAAAGCTTAATCTCTGTAAGCAGGAGCTTCTGTATTCTGCAGGACTGACAGTGTCTCAGACTGTACCCTGACATTAACAAGCTGTCTTATAAATACTGATAATACAGTATACATTTATCTGTTTGCTGTATGTAAGAATGTTGTTTTATAAGAAACTTTTCTTGTATGTAGTACACCTGCTTACATAATCAAGATATACATGTATCAGCCTCTTTGGAGGAAATGTCCTTGACCTTAATTGTGATGACTTGGAGGAAAATATTTCATGTGAAGCTGTCTGCTTTAGCTCCTTGAAAGTGATGGGAATTTTGGTATCCTGATGCTTTTCAGGGAGGTCTGGAAGACTGTACCAATTTTGTTCTTTCAATTGCTGTTAATGAGGATTGCTGATGCAAAATGCTACTGTACTTTAGGCACTGTTAGTGTGCTGTTAGTCTAATTGTTGCCATGTTTTGTTATTGTAGACTAGAAGTAAATATATTAATGAGTAAAGGTAGGGCAGAAAAGACATTATAGCTACTGCAGAGAACCATTATTATGAGTAAAGCTTTATTTTGCATAGAATCAAACTATTCTCACTAGACATCACTGAGACTTTTAATTTAGATTGTTAATAAGTCTGTGCCTTTGCCTGTAGCATATTTTAGTCTGGCTTTTAGAACAAATATTGCAGCTGTTTATTTCACTGATGTCTAGTGTGTCTCCTTTGTGGAATGGCAAGGCGCCTGTGCTATGCATGTTTGGCTCATCTTGGTTTTCAGAGTCTGTACTTTTGGAAAAGAGTCTTTGCTTTTACTTTGTCTTAATATGTTTTTTCTTTCTTTTTAATCTTTTTGGGCAAAGTGAAAGAGTGTCAACATTGTTGACTCTGATTGTGTGAAACTGTTGTAATGCTGAACTGTAATGCTGAAAAGAAAGTAAAGGAAAGTGAAGTTGGCCTTTAATGCTTCAGGCTGAAGATATCTGAGTGTTGGAAAGAAACTAGCTGTGTGTACTTTAGTCTTCAGGTTTCTGAAACAAACAGATGGACCCTTTGGATCAGGAAAGCCAAGGCGCAGGTGGAAGTGAACTTGGCGAGGAATGTGAAAAACAATAGGAAGACTTTCTACAGGTACATTGGCCATACTTTCTACAGCACAGGCCAAAGCGAGTGTACCTCTTTTGGTAAATGTAAAAGGAGAACTTGCTTCAATGGTTGAAGAGAAGGCTGAGGTACTAAATGAGTTCTTTGCCTCGGTCTTCACTGGTAGCCAGGATTCCAGTACTTCTCACATCCCTGAGCCCTGCATCCCTATACCTCTAGGTGGAAACTGGGTGGTGAATCCCCCTGTGCTGTGAGGACAGAGCAGGTCCAAGACCACCTCATGGGACTGAATGTGTACAAGTCTGTGGGGCTGGATAGCGTGCATCCCAGGGTTCTGAAGGAGCTGGCTGAGGTGGTTGCCGAGCTGCTCTTCATCATATTTGAAAAGTTGTGGCTGTCAGGTGAGTCCTGGATGACTGGAGGAAGGATCACGTCACTGCCATTTACAAGAAAGAGCAAAGAGGACCTGGGGAACTACAGGCTGGTGAGTCTCACCTCTGTGCCTGGGAAGATCATGGAACAGATGGAACATGCTTGATCACATGAGGAATGAGCGTGTGATCCGAGACAGCCAGCATGGCTTCACCAGGGGAAGGTCATGCTTGATCAATTTGGTGGCCTTCTATGATGGAGTGGACAAGGGAAAAGCAACTGGTCATTTACCTGGACTTAAGCAAGGCCTTTGACATGGTCTGCCACCACATCCTTGTCTCCAAATTGGAGGAACATGAATTTGATGAGTGGGCCACTCAATGGATAAGAAACTGGTTGAAAGGCCACAGACAGAGGGTTGTCATCAATGGCTCTAAGACCAGGTGGAGGCCAGTAATGAGCGGTGTCCCCCATGGATCTGCGTTGGGACTGGTGCTCTTTAACATCAATGACATCGAGAATGGAATCAAGTGCACCCTCAGTGAGTTTGCTGATGACACCAAGCTGAGTGGTGCGGTTGGCATGGTAGAAAGAAGGGATGCCATTCAGAGGGACCTCGACAGGCTAGAAAAGTGGGCCCGGGTGAACCTGATGAGGTTCAACACAGCAAAGTGCAGAGTTTTGCACTTGGGCTGGAGGAATCCCATGCATCCATACAGACTGGAAGCTCCTTGAGAGCAGCCCTGCGGAGAAGAACCTGGGGGTCTTGATAGATGAAAAGCTTAACATGAGCCAGTAGTGCCCCTGTGGCTCAGAAGGCAAATGATATCCTGGGCTCCATCAGAAGTGGGGTGGCCAGCAGGGACAGGAAGGTGGTTGTCCCCCTATACTCTGCTCTTGTGAAGCCCTGTCTGGAATAATGCATCCAAGTGTGGAGCCCCCAGTACAAGAAAGACAGGGAGCTGTTGTAGAAGGTCCAGAGGAGAGCCACGAAGATGATCAAGGGACTGGAGCACCTCCCCTATGAGGACAGGCTGAGGGAGCTGGGCTTGTTCAGCCTGGAGAAAAGAAGGCTGTGGGGTGACCTCATTGCAGCCTTTCAGTACCTGAAGGGAGCCTACAAACAGGAGGGGAATCAACTCTTTGAAAGGGTTGGTAACAGCAGGACAAGGGGAAATGGTTTTAAGTTGAGGGAGGGGAGATTTAGGTTGGATGTCAGGGGGAAATTCTTTACAGAGAGAGTGGTGAGGTGCTGGAACAGGCTGCCCAGAGAGGTTGTGGATGCTCCATCCCTAGAGGTGTTCAAGGCCAGGTTGGATGGGGCCCTGAGCAGCCTGGTCTGGTATTGAATGTGGAGGTTGGTGGCCCTGTGTGTGGCAGGGGGGTGGGAGATTCATGATCCTTGAGGTCCCTTCCAACCCCGTGATTCTAAGAGTCTGTGAGTGAAATTGAGTACAAGCTAACATAAGTCCTCTGGATAGCTAAACTGGTTAGCATAATAAGAGTTAAACAAATCATGTGGATTGTGCTTTGAAAATAAGCTACAAACATACGTATTCTATAGTGATATTGCTGAGAAAGCATGCAGTAAAAATAAATGTGATAGTTTTACTGGCAGAAGAGAGACTGAGTAAAATTACCTGCATCATTCAACTGTTTTTTAAAACTCTATCAGAAAAGCTAAGAAAACCTCTGGGAGCTTTAACACGTGTGTACAGTTATTTGTAATGCTCTTTTTAAATACTTTATCAGTACACTGATATTCCCTTGCTGGTATGTGTATCTTACTTGTGTGTGATTTGCTACGGACAGGAACTGGATATATGTATATGTGGCAAAAGTTTCCCAAAAGGAATTACGTGCAATACTGTTTGTGTCTTTACCCAATTTCCATAACATTTCTGTCCTAGCTGTAGCAGTGTTCCTTAGGAAGATGCATCTCGACAATGATTTAAATATTTGTTTTCCTTCACAGGGTGTTTAAATAGAAAAATTCCTTTTCCAAGCCATGTTTCTGCACTCACTCTTCATGGTGATCTTTAATTGTGGCTGAAACATTTGCTATGCCAACAAAAGGAACAGTGCAGTCGTACCAACCTTCCTCGAGCAGTCTCCTTTTAGTAAAGGTTTTTCAGAGACAGTATTTATTCTCTTGTCTTTTCTTATAGCAAATTCTGAAATTGAGGTGTCTGTGTCTGCGAGAAATGTGAGAAGGTTGCTTAGTTTCCAGCGCTACCTGAGATCTTCCCGTTTTTTCCGTGGTATCACTGTTCCAAATTCTTCAAACATTTTAGATGATGATTATAATGGACAAGCAAAGGTTGGTTGCTTCATTTAATTTTTATCTCCGTTTTATCAAGTATGCTTCTTTATGTTTACTCACATATAAATATCTTTTGTTAAGAGGCAGTGCAAGTAAATATGAGTTTTAAGCATGTATTTTCATATGTGTATGTATGTGTGCATTTATCTGAGTATAGCTTTATAAAATGTGGCTTCTGACAAACCTCTTCCAAGCTTAGTGGGATAATTTTTAGAGCTTATATACTTTTGTGACTTGCAGTTTTTTGAATGGCAAATAAAGGCTACGCTGTGATAGTTAAAGAAAAAGTGAAGAAAAGAAATTGTAACTGTATTTAGCAAATGGGGTAGAGCAATTTGGACTACCTCTTACCCTCCCTCTCTTTTTCCTTTTAATCTAATTTCATTAGTGAACATCTGGAGGAGTGACTAGCTACTACTGAAAGCTCAACAGAATGTATTAATTTGTCAGAAGATTATGCCAAAATGATATTTCTATATGCAATTCTTCTAGAAAAGTGTGATAGCTGTAACATACTTGTGCTACACTAGAGCAAACTGTTAAGACAGGCGATAGTAAATTGTTAGCTGGACAAAGGGCTAGTGAATTTGGAAACAGGAGAGATGTAGTGCTGACAGGGAAGCAGTAGGAAAAGTTTATAGGTTGTTAAGAGCCCAAAGGCTGTGTCTTGCTACTGATAGTATATAATGCTTTTTGTTAATAACTTTTATGCACAAAAGGAATATCCTTGTAATACAGTGCGCTGATACTGAATGGGGTCAGGCTACAGTGTAGGAAGAATCTGATAACCTTAAGGACGGATTTGAAGAATACACATGTAATTCGACAGCAGAAAGATCTTGTTAATGTTGTGTATTTCTTCTGGTAACTCAGTTTGAGTGGTTGGTAGAGAAAACCTAGCATGTAGTACCAGGATCACAACTACACATTTAATGAGAGTCTGAGAAAGCAAGTATCCACTGTAAGACATGCTGGGCAGGTAATTCTAATGGAGGTAGGAGTAGAAAAGGTGGTGACCTAAACTCTGAGGCCTTGAAAGTGCCGGGTTAGTGTCCATCTGTGTTCATGAAAGCATGTATAGCAGCTGTGAAGTGGTAGTCCAGCGTAAAGTGAGAAGATGGTTTCTAATGGAGAAATTATAAGCTTTTCTTACTTTCTTACGAAAACATCTAGGTAGTATTTTCCCCATTTAAACAAAAAGGGAAAGTGAGAAATTAAAGGACTACTTGCAGATTATTACTTTGTCACAAAAATTGAAGTGGAAGATCTGGAAGAGATCTTGTGACAGAAGGTTGGAAGTCATCTGACAGAGTTTTGTGATCAATACATTTGTTAAGATGATTGCATGAAATGTCAAGCGTGGGCCTCTTAAGGTGTCTCAATTTTATTTTCTAAGTTTGAACAGTTATTTTGTCATGCTGCTTCTGCTTCTAACCTAATTGTCTTAAATTGTCATACTACTTATATGAAAATGATGAGAGGATGAAGGGGAAGTCTCAAATTTTACTGTCAAGATGCTTCTCAAATTTCAGTCTTTTAATTTGTAGCATATATTTTAAAGTTTCCCAATTTTCAGACAAATGGAATATTTACAGTACTGTTTTTGCGTGTAGAAATTCAGAGACCGATGCAAGTCCTTAAAAGCTTAAATACTCCTCTGGCCTATAGGAAGATAGCCACACACTGAGGGGAAAAAGAGTTAAAACTATTGTGTTTTCTTTCAGTGTATGTTGGAGAAGGTTGGGAACTGGAATTTTGATATCTTTCTTTTTGATAGACTGACAAATGGTGAGTTTGCTTTTCTCTTGTGTTTTTATCTCCTAGTATAACTTAGCTGTTGCTCCTACATTGTGGTATTTGGTAGCTGGTTCACTAAAAAGCAAAGATTTCATCAGGTAGTACTTTCTGCTTTAACAGTCTTCAATATAAATTCGGATTTGCCATGCCACTCTGTTAAAATGCCATTAATGTCAGTACTGATAATAATCACTGATTTATAGAAGATGCCCTTGTACTTCATAGGTGGTATTCTTTCTCTTTTTTTTTTTTTTACTGTAAGTAGTATTTAACATAAATTGACCATCTTGCTCATTTAATCAATTTTTTAATTATGGAATGGTGTTAATTTAAAGATCTTTGTGCAAAAGGTCGGTTGCAGTGAATGACTACTTTTCTGGATAAATTGAATTTTGGATAGAACAGTTGTGTTAGTATTACTTTACAGCACAATAAAAAGGCAAAATAGTATGAACACATTGTAGTTACGACACCTGGTAGAATACCTGGAGAATTAGGAGGTGAGCAAACATAAACTGCTGTATATATGTTTACACAAAATACAAAAGGAGAACAGATTATGGTTTTGCCATACCCATTACAAGTGGCAGTAGGAAAGAGTTGGTTAAAAACTAAATCAAATGAAGTGTTGTGAAGCTACGGATAGTCAGTTGGGAAAGAGATCTGTAAATGTGCTGGCAAGGAGGTGGACTGCTGTAGTGGACAGAGAGAACATTTGTATTGTAATATGGAGCAATGGAAAGAAGAAAGAGATGGGTGAGTCCAAGGAAACTGGTGCTTGTGCCAGTGGAAAGCTCCTGGGGCCTGGACTGTGAGCAGGGAGCAGCTGGTGCCTTTTTTCTGTCAGTCAGAAGGAGTTGTTAGCAGAGATACAGTTAGTTTGTTTGCAGTTTGGCAGGAAGGCATGGAAACTAAGTTCAGAAAGCAAAATATAGCACCACGTTGCTATTTTGTTAAAAGCATGCTTGACTTACCTAGAGTAAAAGTAGTATCCTCACATTTTGATATAAAGCGAAGTGTGAATATAGAAGTGGAAACAGTGGGGATTCTTACAAAGATAGTGCTTGTATGGATAATCATAAACTCTAACTCAAAAAGCAGTTTGTACAAAGTAACTTGTTTGTAGTAGTGATTAAAGATTAGTGTAGCAGAAGGGGAGTGATCTAAAGTCCTCCTTTTGATACCGAGCCTTTTTTGTCGAAAGTATGCATTTTGTTCAGATATATTTCCAGTATACTGTGCAGCTTCTATTGTGGAAGCCTTTCTTGATCCATCCTGTTTGCATCCTAATTTTGTTGTTTTAAGAGCATGTTGGGAACAGTGGCGTTCTTAAGGGTAGAACATACAACATTGCTGTACATGCAGCTTCACCTAGTGAGCTGCCCTGGGCAAACTTGTGAAAAAAAAGAAGAGTTGCTCAGTAAATGCTGTTTAAATAAATGTGTATCTTACAGAGAGGAAGTGGCAGGCACCCTTAAATACTTCAAGCAGATGATAAGTTACATTTATCAGAATTGTTTGTCCTTTTGTATCTCAGTTTCTGCCTGGGCTAGATTATCTGATTCCTGCTAAATGAGATTGTCAGAGTAAATGTACCAACCCTGAGTAATCCCTCACTACGTACTGTTTGCAGAGTAAATAATTTGCAAGCTATTTCAGGTAAACAGTAAACATGCAGTTATTTCCCTGGCTTTTACAGCTTTGTCTGTTTTATCACTGTACGTGGTTGCAGTATTATCGCTGTGAGCAGGTGAAATGTATTACAAGCTTTTAATGTACATTTCTTAGAGAAATGTAGAACTTTTCATTAGATTCCTGGCTGAAATAAGGAATAGTTTCCTACACACAAAAAAGATGAAAATGCATGACAGCATACGTGCAATGTGCATGATTGAGATGATTGAGCTTTTTGTTTTTCTGATGGTTTCTGTGTTCCTTTTTGAGCTGTGTGTCCATCTATAAAAATAATGATGCAACATACCACTAAGTTGAATACTGCTGTAATGGATTTGAACGTTTAAACTTCTTGCTTTTCTTAATGTTGGTAACATTTTCCTCCTGTCATTTGGCAGTGAACAATATTGGCAGTCACTAGAGGAGTCAGCTAATGGAATCTTGTCATGCAAGAAGATTTAAGTATTTATCATGGTGTAGAAAAATTTGCTTATGTAATTTTTGTGTCCAATTTGTTTGAAATACGTTTCTTGTGAAAGTCACTGATTTCATGACTTCCAATGAATTAGTATTTTCATCTTATTTTTAGGAAACAGTCTAGTCAGCTTAACCTTTCATCTGTTTAATCTTCATGGACTAATTGAACACTTCCAGTTAGATACGATGAAACTCCGTAGATTTTTGGGTAAATACAGCTTTTTATTATGATGAATATTGCTGTTTATCCGAATTTTCATGCCTTAACTGAAGTGCTGGTTGTAGTTCAGCAATAAGGTTTGAAGAGTGGCAACCCTGTCCAGATCATACAGTAATTTTAACTGTATCAGTTGAGAGACAATCTCTCAAGTTTCTGTGAGTATAGATGTTTCCATGTTAAAACCAAGCAAGTATGTTTATGGCAGATGCTATATTGTTTTTATTGAATCTAAATTTCAGGAATGAATGTGAATTCATTCATGTGACAATTCTATTGAGAAAGATAGACTGCTCCTTTATTTGGTGCAATTTTCATCTCTTTTAGCTTTTGTTTTTGAAATTCTCCATATAATTTCATAACTATACTGATCAGACCACGTTGGTCAATTTGATGCCATGTCTTGCTGAAGCTCTCATACAAGTACTCACTGTGCTGTAGGTGTACTGTCTCCATAAACAGGGCATGAGCTTGTTGCTGGGCTGTGTGTGCCTGTGGCACTGGAAGGCTTCAATGGAAAGAACTGTAAATACAACATGGAGCATTCAAGCATTCAAACTTCCACTTGTCAGCTGAAGGAGCTGCAACCCTGTGCCACAGGCAGACCCCGGTGTGAGGCTTCCATCATTCATTCATTTCTTCTGTGATGGCACCTTTTATTTAATTCTGTGGAGTGGGATGCTGATTTCTAACGGAGCAGGAGGAAGAGGTTTCTGATCCCTCTTAGCAGAGTTTCTCAGTTTCAGAGAAAACAGTGTTGTGGTTCTGAAGCTTATCATTTAACAGGGAAGACAACCGTGTTCAGTAGGCTTTTCTCCACTTTCAAATAATGGAATGTTTTTGTTTTCATTGTTTCTTTCTGCTTGAGGATTTTTAATTGTTCTGTCGTGAGTTTAATCTTTAAAAAGGAGCTCAACTCCTTCCGGTATTAAAAAGACACAGAAGCTGACCTTGAGGACTGGTATTTGGATAGATGTGTGCAGAAAGCAGTTAAGAGAAATCTGATTTTGAGCTGTTGAAGTTGTAACTGAGTGTGTTTGGTTGTCAGCTTGCTTATCCTCTGGCTTGTGGAGATTTATCAAAGGAGTATTTAACTTGAAGTGAAACTCCAGATAGGAATAACTGGATTAGTTGATCAGAATTCAAAACTGTAAGCCACTGAAATGGTGTTAGACTGTGGGAGAAGGCAACATTTTGTTCTAACACTGAAATCAATCATCATTTTCTTTTTGTTATTGCCTTCTACTTAACAGCAGTAACAAAACATTTCTTAGCTCTGCCCCAGCCCATCTGTTGAATCAAGGAGCTTTTCTGCAAGTAATGCTTCTTAGCATTAAATCATTCTTCTCTTTTGTTGCCCTTTACACCCTAGGTCATAGTAATCTGAAGAGAAAATTTCAGATGGCTGATACTTCATGTACTCCCCAGTGCCCCTCAAAATCCATCTTGTTTGAGAACTTACTAGAATCTTTTTTTTTAAGAAGAGAAATCTGGTTTTAGTCGTTAGTGGAACCTTAATATTTTATTTTGTGTATGTGTGTATATGTACATATATGTATGCATACATTAACACACATACATATATATTTGCTTATATGCACACACAGTCTTTCTGTGATTTCAAAAGGTCATCTGGAGATTGACCAGCTCCTCTTGTATGCTTTCAATTTCTTATTCCACATTCAAAGAGAGAGAAAATACAAGGCAAATACTGTCCTTGTTCTACTTTATTAAAATAAGTTAGAAGTATTCCAGACTTTGAGTATCTGGACCATCTTATGAAACCTTAAAAACAGAGGATTAAATGATGGGCATCTTCACTCATTTGGTAGACATAAGGAATATGTGAAAGTGAGGTCTACCTCAGGTTAACAGAGCCCAGAGATGCTTATTTTCTTTATTATTGTCCATATGAGGTTTCAGCAGTGTGCCAAATGCCAGCTAAATTACAAGTGGTTACAATTTTTTGGCTTTTCATAAGCCACGAATCTTCACAAATACTATGCACTGCTCTAACATTACAGTCACAATCACATGGAGAGTGCTGGCATGTAAACTGAGTAGGAAAAGATGTTTGGATGGGAATGACAGAGTGTAGTCAGCCAGGAAAGTGTTCTTCTGAGGTTGGCTTGGATGAACTAATGTGTCATCAGGCAAGACTTTGCAATTTGAAGTATAGTTTGATTGCTGCTCTTCAGATCTTCTCTCTATCCTTTTAAATGTTACAGTTCTTTTACGCTTTGTATTCAAGCTTATGTGGATATTCTTTAAAATGTTGTACGTATGTCAGTCAGGAAGATAGAGGAGAAAAACAAGGAAGAAGATAAGGAGGAAATATTAATCTTAGATGATGACCTGACTTGCCACCTAATGGCACTGACTTGACACCTAATGAGATTCCTTTCTAAATTGTATATAGGCTTAAAACTCCCTAAGTACACAAGTAGTAGAAAACGCCCATACTGCATAGAGGTGGCTTCTCGTGACCACTGTAGGAAGAGGAAAGAAAAGCACTCCCTATGACAGTAAAACACTGCCTACTTCCTCTGATTTGTCTGTTTTCAAGGCATGATGTTTAGTCATCCCAGTGCTTTGGTTCATAGTATCATCTTCATTCTTATGCTTGGTTGCCTCAACATTCAAGCAGGCTAGGTTTTCAAAGGGAGACTTCCTTGGAAGTCAAAGCATCTCAGATAATATATTGATTTCAAGTTGTATAATTCTTTCTCTGAGATGGCTTTACATGTAGCTCATTTCTTGCGGAAAAGTTCCCTCACATAAAAATCTTTTATGCTTGGTTTTGGTTCAACTGACAATTCACTGACTTTGACACTTTCATGCGTGTGTAACTTGTGATGTTGCATATTTCTGTGCCTAACAAGGAGATGTAAAATGATACATGAAAAAATTGCTGTTTTATTTAGATTTAGATATTTGTTATTTTCCTGCAGTTATGGTTCAAGAAGATTATCACAGTCAGAACCCTTATCATAATGCAGTTCATGCTGCTGATGTGACTCAGGCCATGCACTGTTACTTAAAAGAGCCTAAGGTAAGGAAGCATTCTCAGTTATACATATGGAAATACATGTGTTTAATCATAGAATCATAGAATTGCCCAGGTTGGAAGAGACCCTAAAGGTCATCAAGTCCAACCACAACCTAACCATACTAGCTAACTCTGACAGCCCTCTGCTAAATCATGTCCCTGAGCACCACATCCAAGCAGTTTTCAAATGCATCCAGGGATGGTGACTCAGCCACCTCCCTGAGGAGCCTATTCCAGTGCTTAACAACCCTTTCTGGAAAGAAGTTTTTCCTGATATCCAACCTAAAATTACCCTGGTGCAACTTGAGGCCATTTCCCCTCGTCCTGTCACCAGTGAGAAGAGACCAACCCTGCTCTCGCTGTAAGCACCTTTCAGGTATTGGAAGAGAGCAGTAAGGTCTCCCCTCAGCCTCCTTTTCCCCAGACTCAACAGCCCCAGTTCCTTCAGTCTCTCCTCATAGGCCAATTTCTCCAAGCTCTTCACCAGCCTTGTTGCCCTTCTTCGGACCTGCTCCAGCACCTCAATGTCCTTTCTGTACTGAGATATTAAGGTGCCCAAAACTGAACACAGTGTATCGTGTACACATACAGTTTTTACTATAAGAGCAAAAAAAAAAAAAAAAAAAGCCCCCCCAAAAAAACAAAGCAAACAGCCTCCTTTCCCCAAACTCACCTTTTTATCACAACAACAAGCAGGGCTGATACCCAGTGTGCCTTTAAGGCACACAGTTTGGTAGCTCTGAGCATTTTTTAGTGTAATACTGTTGATGAATGCTTTGTAATGCTTCAGATAGAAGCATGGGATTGGTATCATTAGTAACATATACAGTTACTGGTTCTGCTGCACCACCATGATAAAGATGGGGTGTAGTAGATGGTAAATGCAAAAGGGCATGTAACATCCTGTCCTTGCAGGGAGTTGCAGCTTTTCACTTTTGTACATGCAATACTGTCCTCTGTTTTAGTGCAAATTAGGCTTTCCTCCTGTGTTTAGGTCTTAAACAAAAAAAAAAACAGAGACTGAGTAGAATATTGATTTCACATTATTTAACTTTTCCTTGAATTCCTGTTGGCTTTTAACTACTAAAAAAGAAAACCATAAATGTGATGCTGGTGCAGGTATGGCCACGCTTGTATTGCTGACAGGATTCTGTTTGTTATTACCTTACAGCTGTCCGAATCCTTAACTCCGTGGGATGTTCTGCTCAGTTTAATTGCAGCTGCCACACACGATTTGGATCACCCAGGCGTTAACCAACCTTTCCTAATTAAAACAAACCATTACTTAGCAACTTTGTATAAGGTAAGAAGAAAATTCGTTGCTTTGAAATTGGGTTTGGAGAATTTTGGAGGAGAACAGAAAAGGAATATAAATTGTGGTGTCTTTAGCTTCTTGTAGGTGTGAATTGAAAGAGTGTTTCCGTGCCCCTGGGATAAAACTGTGAGCTGATGAAGTATTCAGGATGTGAGAGACTTGGTTCTCTTATAAGCAAAGAAACAAGCCCTCTGTGTGGTGCAGCTGTTAGTGTAAGGCATTCAATTACAAAAAAGTCACTGATACCTGTGATATCTGCTGTCATTTGCAGAATACCTCAGTATTGGAGAACCATCACTGGAGATCAGCAGTGGGGTTGCTGAGAGAGTCTGGTTTATTTGCACATATGTCATTAGAAAACAGGTACGTTTATACAAAGTAATTTGTCTTAGTTTACGGTGCAAGTAAGCTGTATCTGAATAAAGAGAACATTAGAAAACAAACAAAGTTATTGCATGGCAGTTCATTACCTAAATTTGGTATCTGGACCTTTTTAATAATCCCTTGCTGCTGGGGTAGAGCAGTGCAATGCAGAACTTGGAACACAACATTCAGTGTGAGTACACTGAAGAGGTATAGTCAAGCACCTGGTTATGTTAAAGCTTTTCTCGTTCTGTCACTGCAATTGTAGTTTAGCACAGAACCTTCTTGCCTGTGTTAACAATCAGTACACTTTGAACAATTAATTTGTGTGTATTTGGGGGAAAAACAAACAAAAAATCCAAATCTGTTGTTCTGAAAGCTGCCAATGAAATGTCCCAATATTTGTTTGGAAGTGGCAGGAAAAACAAAAGAAGAAACTGCTGTGAAAATGCTGATCAGTAAGCTTGTGACTTGCATCTGCATAATAATGAATATGACTAAAAAAATCCCACACACAACCAGTGTGAATCTAGTGATAGCTATTGTTCTTTGTTACCCTCTCTGAATACTTGGTGCCACTGATTTCAGGCAGCTGATGGAAAGCCAGATAGGTGATCTCATTCTTGCCACAGACATCAGTCAGCAAAATGAGTATCTGTCCATGTTCCGATCCCACCTGGATAGAGGAGATCTATGTTTAGAGGATGCGAACCACCGTCACTTCATTTTACAGGTGATTTTTTTTTTGTTATGTTTTTTAAAAACATGATTTTAATTTCAAAAATAATTAACATGCTAAATACTACTACTTCTAGGCTATGTTAAATGAAATAAATACCTTCAGTTGTTTTGTTTCACTACAAAAAGGTTGTTCCCTCCACTTACGTCTCCTCCCTTCCTCCTAGCATGTAGCCCCAGAGATATCACATGCTGGTTATCTGGAATCTTAGAGCTGCTAAGATAAGGAGAGATGCACTTCTAAGAACTAGATTTTGCATTCTGATAACTCCAGCACAGTCTCAGAACTGTGAAATGCTTTGTTAGAACACGTTTCAGCAAAGAAGAAAAAGTACAACTAATTGAATCAGCTTCATAGGTGTATGTATCATTAGATCTGTTCTGTGGACTGCAAAAGAAATCGGACAAACAGAAGTTCTGTCCTTTGCAAACCATTACAAAAGATGTAAACTTAAGAGGTAGAAACACAAAATACTGTTTGCTTACACTGACACTTCTGAGTTTGTTGCTGCCTCCTTAATTAGTACATATACTAAATGTAATGCCCTTGAAATGCTTTGACTTGCCTTAATTTTGGTATTGCTCAGAGATGAACACAAGATCTAATTGTTTCCCATGTGTTTAAGTGTGATTATAGAATGCAACCAGAGGGAAGCACAAATGTCAGGTAGGTTTGTTGTTTGCAAAATGTCTGCTGCCAGAAATAGGGAACTGAAGATATTGTTGGAAGGAAAGGGGCAGTCGGGTGGCCTAACGCTGTGTATTAACTTCCTAGATGGCTTTGAAGTGTGCAGATATTTGTAATCCGTGTCGGACTTGGGAGCTGAGTAAGCAGTGGAGTGAAAAAGTAACAGAGGAGTTCTTCCATCAAGGCAAGTGAGAGTATGGGTAGCAGATGATGTATTTATGGTGTGGAGAAAGCAATCATGAGTCATAGCTGCATGCAAATAAATAGTGACTTACATTTATGACTAATACAGATCTACTGTACAGTGTGGGATTTTTTTCCTGTACTGGTTGTGTTTCTTGGAAAAGGCTGGTGCTACTGACACCTGGTGAAAACCACTGAAGAGTTCTGAACGCAGAATGGCAGGTTCAATAGATCCTCCATCCTGAAAGGTGCATCAGATGAATAATCATGTTCAGTTTACGTGTTCCTGCTGCTTTCAGTAAGTTAGGAAATATATTCTTGCCAGATCTTGTATATTAAAAATTTCCCTGGCAATGAGGGCCTGTTGGTGAGCAGGAAGAAGCTAAGAAAGAGATTCTGATAAAGCAGTAGCCATAACTAGATGGACAGCATTTGATGAAGCTTTTAATTGACAGATGGAAGACATGAATTTTGTCCACTGTTACTGAGTTCTTTTAATAATAAAGAACCTGTGCTTCTCCTTTTTCAAGGGTGGTTTATCTTGATTTGAGAAATGCTAATGTGCACAGCTATGAAAAATGGAGAGCTGAGTTCTTGAGCGCTGAGATGTGGAACTTACTGTCAGAGGAAGATCTGTGGAAATGTAACAGCAAATTGCCCTTAGTGAGAAATTCCTGAAGGCCAAACTGTTGTCTTCTGTGTAGCAAAGTGGGATGAGGGGGTCTTAATTTGTCATTTCAACTGCAGCCCAGGGGTTTTTGCAAGGAAGTATCTTCAGGAATCCAGTGATTTGTTGCTTTTCATTCGTTACTGCTTGTGTGATTAAAAAAAAAAGCCCAAAAAACAAAAAACCTGTTATTGGACCTGTTGACTTAACCTGTTGTATTATACTTCTGCTTCTTTAGGAGATATTGAAAAAAAGTATCACTTGGGTGTGAGTCCACTTTGTGACCGACAGACGGAGACCATTGCCAACATCCAGATTGGTAACTGCAGTTCTGTGTATTTCAGTAGATCCCATTCAGAATGTGCATTGGAGAAAATACCAGATCCGTATGTTTGCTGCAAGCTTTGCCTGGTCTGTCTGTGTGGCACTTCACAGGAGGATTCCAGCTCTATGATTTAGCTTTCTGGAATGCTAGCAGTCAGTTTAAATACAGCCTTAGTAAGGGCAGTCGATACTGAGCTGATAGAGAACCACAGAGACATGAAATTACTGCTAACTCCAGTTGGATTTAAAATAGCAGGAGGGCTGACTTGCTTATTAAGTAGTTTATGTAGATTGAATAGGAATCTTTTCAAACCTTGCAAAGAATAATATATTTAACCATAACTGTACTATGAGTTGTGTTTGAAATTAGAGATTGAGAAGATCTCATCTGTTCAATCAGCTGCAAGTCTAATGTAGAATGTTGGAAAAATCATGCTTTTGTAATTTACAGACAGAACCAAGCACAACTTCAGCAGTCTTACATTTGTTTGTGTGAACGGGTACTGCAAATAGGTGCAGCAAAAATAGAAATCATGGAATGGTTTATGGTCAGATTGGCTTAGAATGAATTAAATGTATGTTGTTGTTCTGTATCCTTTTCAGGTAAAAAATTTTTTTCTGATTGTGCTTTTCAGTATTTTTAATCAGGTTTGTATTGTGATAAGAATCAGCTTTTCTTATTCTTCCCACCCATGTTTAGATCATTTATGAGGTAATTTGTTAGAAAAACTATATTTCTAAAAGAGATCTATTGTGTAGTTTATGTGACTTAGTTATTGATTAGATAACTAAGATTTAGATTCTCTCTCCCTGTTCTCTAATATTTTCCTTTATTTGCTCACTGTTCTGGAACAAAAAAAAATGATCTTGTAATCCAGTATTAATTGGTCCAGTGGAGGGCCACAAGGATGTCCTATGGAGACAGGCTGAGGGAGCTGTAGGGGGTTGGAACTAGATGAGGGGCCTTCCAACCTCTCTGGACAGCCTGTTTCTGTGCTCTGTCACCCTTACCATAAAGAAGTTCTTCTACATGCTGTGTTTGAGTTTTAGGCTATTACTCCTTGTCTTATTGCTATGCACCACCAAGAGCCTGGCCTCATCCATTTGCCTCCCTCCTCCCTTTAGACATTTACAAACATTGATCAGATCTCTTCTCAGTGGTCTTTTCCCCAGGCTGAAGAGACCCATGTTACTCAGCCTTTCTCCCTATAGGAGGTGCTTCAGGCCTTTATTCACCTTTGTGGCCCTCCACTGGACTCCTCCTAGGAGATCCCTGTCTTTTTTGAGGTGAGGAGCCCAGAACTGGACACAGCAGTCTAAATGTGGCCTCTCCAGGGCAGAGTAGAGGAGAAGGATCACCTCCCTTGGCCTTCTTGGCCACAAGAGCACACTGCTGGCTCATCACCAACCTGTTGTCCACCAGGACAACAGAGCTTCTCCACAGAGCTCCTCTCCAGCAGGTCATCGCCCAACCTGTACTGAATGCAATACTCTGCATGGTTTAGCTTATTGTTATATCTTGAACTACGTAGTTTCTGTCCCTGCTTTTCTCACGTGGCTGTGTGTGTTTGCTGTTTTGAAGGCTTCATGACCTACCTGGTGGAGCCACTGTTTGCAGAGTGGGCCCGCTTCTCCAACACGCGGCTGTCGCAGACGATGCTCGGCCACCTGGGACTGAACAAGGCGAGCTGGAAGGGGGTGCAGAGAGAACAGTCCGGCGGCGGGGAGGATGCTGACCCTGCCTTTGAGGAGATGGACTCAGACATATTACCTCAGGAACCTCGATTGTCCTGACCTCAGCCCTCATGACAAAACTGCCTCTTCTCTCGGTGTCTGCACAGCTGGATTAAAGGAGATACTTGCTCGCCCGAGGTCTTGGTAAAATGATGCCAGCATTATTTATTATTTCCAAGTTTTCCTTCGACACAGGCATTTGAACCTGATTTTTTTTTAACTGCAAGATCTGAACATAGAGCAATATGCATATGCCTCGGTTGGTTTTCGTTCGGAACCTTGAATATGCAAAGCACAGCGGTGACCGAGCCTTGGAGGAACAGTACGAAGGCTTCATTGTGCCACACCTTTGTTTTTCTTTAGTGAAATCTGAAACACGGTCTTCAGACCTAAGACTTGAGATGGATCGTTCCACTTCCTCGGAGTTTAGCGAGACTTGCATGAATGTGTTGGGAGCATACCTTCCACTCAGTCCCTGTTTTAATACGGAAATGTGAAGTGCCCATCCTCTGCTGCCTCTGGCAAGACTTGATGTTTACAAACGTACTCTGAAACTATGGGTTCTAGACTTAACCTTTGCGCATGGCTGTGAAGGAACCACTAACCTGGGTTTTTTGCTTTTTTAAAAGAAAAAAGATCAAATCCGAGACTGCAGCTCTTGTTTTTTGGATGCCGGAAAAGCCTCCCATTTGCCATAATTTTGTTTGTGCACTGGGAACTGAGCATTCATCATAGAGCACAGCCAAGCTTTACTCCAGTGCTGTATGGGAATGCAGTTTTTTAAAAGCGGAAAACACATCAGAATTCGGGATAGGCTTTTCCGGCATCCAAAAAACAAGAGCTGCAGTCTCGGATTTGA